ACAATGTGGGTTCGCAGGCATCTCGATAACGAATCCTTCAGGAGACGATAAGCTGTCAAGTGGAACCTTGGAGCAAAAAAATAGAGAAATATTATATTTCGACTCATCGGCGGAGACAGATGGACTAAAAGTTTGTATTATGTATAAATATAATGTGTTAAAATTATCATTGCTTCACTCTGATAGCGTTGTCTGAACTCGGTCTTGCGGATTGCCTAAATGTTGCAAGACCAATACCAGGACTGGTAAAAAAAAAAAGATTTTTTGGATAAAAATTAAAACAAACTATTTTCAAGTTAATTTATTATTAGCACCATATTTACACCAATTTTTTAAAACTTTTTGACGACGTTTCTGCTCGTCGAGCCATTTTCAAGTCTAAAAAAATTTTCATCTACAATCATATATTATCTTTAACATATTTCAAATTATAAAGATTCTTATTATGTACCTAAAATACCCATCATCTACCTGTCCTTTCACTTATGCGAATTGCAAGCGTCTACTAATAATAAAATTCCTTATTATTGTCATGTTCACCTTTAATTATTTTACAACATTATTATTACTCCATTCTTTACTATTAAATGATTCAAATAAGTTAAAATAACCTTGTTTCTGAGTCACCCACATGTCATCCGTCTCATTTCTATTCAGTGACTGGTTATTCTTATAGGAGTATGGAAAGACTATTTATTATAAACATATATAATGCTGTTTCTCAATATTATATGTGGATCTATTTAAGTAATATTAGCTAATTTATTTCAAATTTTGATTTTTTCAATTGAACTAGCGTAAAGCGTATTCATATTATACAAGTCTGTATGATTATTTACTGAGTTTTTAAGTTTTTAGTTATGTATATTGCTTCCTTAATTCTACGTTTATTCGTATTTCTTTCATTATGTAGGATTTTGGCGTTTTTGAAATCAAATTCATGTTTAGTTTGCATATTATTATTTTTAAAAATCGGTGTAAATATGGCTAATAATAAATTAACTTGAAAATAAATAGTATGCACCGAAGAAGAAGTGAGAAATATTTTGAATAAAACAAACTGGTTAATAATAATTGACAATCGTATTTACTATATGTAAATAATTGGTCTAACCAATATACTTTTGCATTTAACTCCACTCATTTTTCATCCGGGCTTAGTTAGGTTTCTCCTATCTATAAAAATACAGTAATAAGCTAATAAGTAACTGCACGACTGTTGCGAGACTCTTGTGTAAGACCATGACTGAGTTTGCAAGACCAAGACTCGTATCACATATTGTATTAATAGTTTGATGTCATTTCAATTCAGGCACTTTTATATTTTTCCGTTTAAACATTTTTGTTGCTAAATGCACAGACATCATCCGATGAAATTTTCGCTTTTTAATTTTTTTTTCTGTATTATTTGGCGGATTACGTGGCTGAGCTTAAGTACTCTGAAGTGTCGGGATTTCAATGGAGACATCGAGCATAAGTAATAGGATTACATCGAGCCCTAAACCGAGTGTGATCAGATACGGTGTTAACAAGTGCGTAACAAAGTAGCTAGCTGAGGTTGGCAACAATGGGTGTAAGCGCGGGAAGAGTCAATGGCGCCAACACCTGGGAGATTAGCATTCAGCTTTGGCGGGCCCGCCATTCGGGAGCGGCAGCGCGGGAATATTCTCCCGCCAAATATGCCAAATTACACCGCCCCAACTTATTGTGGGCGAGTTATTAACCACGCTCTATTGTGAATTGTGGCGGGTGTCCGGGGGATTGTACTGTGGGGGAAAAAGTTATAAGATTAAACTGACGGCAGGGTTCTGTACAAAACGGATTCTAAGCCTTTAGTCTATCGGATCTACTTCTCGATCCTAAAGATTGAAACAATGAAATACTTCATATTCCTTACCTCAGGCAGATTACCTGTTGCAAAATCACCAATACCTGACGTCCTCTATAAAGTTGACACTCTTGATTAAATAATTGATTAAGAGTAGTGTTGCCAAAATGCGAGACTCAGACAAGTCTTGGTCTTGCAAACTCAGTCTTGGTCTAGCGCAAGACTCTCGTAACAGTCTTTGCTGTTACCTATTATCTTATGATATTACTGTAATTTTTTAGATATGAAAAACCTAACTAAGTCTGAATGAAAAATTAGAAGAGTTAAATGCAAAAGTATATTGAGTAAGACGATGGACCCCGCACCTTCCTTTTTAAGTTAGCTCTGCAATTTATGTATGTAAATGAATTTATTTCTATATTTATATTTTCTTTTGCCAATTTTGGGTTTATTCACATTGTACTCTGATCTATAATCTCTCAATTCTATTTTATACGTATATTTATATATTTATAATTTAATATTTCATAGATATAGTATTTTTCCATTGTATCCACCCATATCTTCAAATTTTAGATACAGTCATTTCCTAGGTTTTTCCCAATTACCCACACATGTTAGTTTCCCCTATACCTGCTACCCTTACCCTTGGTTTTCCAGATCTAAGTGAAACTCCTAGCTGAACACACCTGTAAGTCTCTAATTTTATTCTTCCATATTTATTTACTTATTTATCTAATTTTGGTTTCCTTTTTTCTTTTCTTTCTCCAAATTCCTTTATGTCTATTATTTCATATTATATCCTTTTTCCTTTTCTTTCAATCTCTCCTGTAAATTTGTAGAAGTATATTCACATTTTCATTTATTATATATTACACTACAACAATTGTTAGTATCTATTTACTTCAGTTTATGATCTTGTTACTCAGCTTACTTTGTTCATATTTTATTGTACTTTCTGTTTATAATTTTAATAAGCTTATTCACTATTGTTTATAAATTATGTCTAGATATTATGTAACTGCCACAATTCTCTATCTTTCTCTTATCTAGTCCGTTCTAGCCCTGAAGAAGACCTGCAAAGTCGGGTCGAAACGTTGGATTTTAATAAAATAGTTTTACCACTATTTAGCCTATTTATCACCGCAACCCCGGACCATCTCCTTCCTTTATAATCCACCGGTCAACTATTAAATATTCAAAAGTATATTGGTTTCCCCAATTCTTTACATTTAGTAACTAAAATTGTCAAGTATCAGTAACTATTTTGTCTCAAATTTTATTCAAAAAATCGATTTTTTCTACCAGTCTTGGTCTTGGCCAACACTAATTAAGAGGAAAAAACTGAGAGTTGAGCGTGATCCTGACCCGATCCTTGACCTCCCTGCACAACTGTTGGTCTTGAAACAGTACTTACAAAGTACTCAACCCAAAACTCTTCATGAGTCGTGGTGGTACCGTTGTTTTTTTCTTGTGTTTTCTCTCAAGGTCTGATGAGGTTCAAAGATGAAATCATGGAAAAAATAAGAAACCATCACGCATCCAAGGACATCGACAGAGTGTTAAACTCTAAATCAAACCCAAGATATAGAAAAATCTGCTCCTTTAATGTTACCAAACCAGAGGATTATCTTCAGTCCAGGGCCCTGAATTTAAACAAATTAAGAGCCGTTAGTCGTCTCAGAGTAGCAAATAAAGATTTTATGAAAATATACTTAAAAGATGCTACTTTGACTATTAAATCCAGTGAGGTCTGTGGTGCATGCAACTGCCTTGTAACTGACCCGGTAACTCATTTTCTGATCCAATGTATCAAGTTCAACGAGCCGAGAAATAAGTACTTGAAGGCATTTATCACTGAATCCAGAGAAGATGCTAGTGTGGAGGAGATACTGAAAATAGACACTACGAAAAAAATAAACCAACTGTATTATTTCATACAAGGCTGTTCATTGAACTGTTAAGTGGTAAAGTTGATCATATAACATATATTAATTCTTATTTATATTGTCATTTGTCTTATACCTCTCGAATATTTAAAATACAATAAAATAAAATAAAAAAATGTTTTACTAATTGTTATGTATATATATCGTTTACTAATCTGTTACTATATTAGTCATACTTAATGCTGTGGACATTGTTAATGTTATGTTTGAATGCAGTACTAGACTCAAGATCTAACATTGTTAATTATACCATTCTATTTATTTGTACAGGAATTTCCTTAGAGAAATAAAATAAACTATCTATCTATCTATCAGTTGTTTTTTTTTCTCCATTATAAATATTTATTAGTGACCAACTAAATGTTTCCTAAATCATAACATCAACGTTTAAAATAAAGAAATCTGCTTATTACTTGAATTATTTTTATTTTTAATATCTTGGACTTAGCTGGTTTTGGAACTGAGCAGATCATTTATTATACAATAAAGGACAAATCCTTATTATAAAGGACATTCCCAAACAGAGGTGACCCACAGTGTCCTGTTGTCCTTCTGGTCCCTCCGTAAGGTACAGGACCCGAACAAACACGGTTCTCACATAGACACCATTAGCCGGGCAGTTAGAGCTGATTAATGGAACTGCACCCGATAGTTCCAACAGTTATCGTCCAAGATAAACAGTCATAGATCATCGAGATCCGTGAGAACTCTTGCGTCTTTCTGGCGATAGTTCGATAGTCTGTAGCTATCGATAAGGTGGAGGAGAAGGGTCAAAATAAATTCATTTTTACACGGTTCATAAATAATTTTGAACGAATACTAGAGAGAAACACTTTATTTTCATAAAATATAAAGGATTGCTGCCCAATTATATTGGGTTGCTATATACACAGCATACTCTTCTATCCTTAGGACAATATATGAACTTATATATAAATATACAGAATTATTAGTTAATATTAGTAAAATAGATATATATATACATATACATTTTTATTATTTTCCTTTTTCCTTCCTTTCATTGTTCATGCTTTTTTTTTTGTAGCTTTTTTTTAAACATTTAGTTTCCCTTTCTCTCACTTCTCTCTCTTTATCTCTATTGTTTTTAATTATTCATTAAATAAATACATAAATTAAAACTCTCGGGCTAGCCATGCACTTGGTGGTGAATGATTCCCAGGGAGTCGAGGACTATATTTTTAGCCAACCTCGCTACGTCCTTAATGTCGACACCTAGTTCCTCGAGGAAGCTCCTTATTCTTTTTGGGATAGTTCCGCGAGACCCAAACCAGAGGCCTCTCACGGTGAACTCTCTCTCTCCGAAGGTCTCACGGAATTTATCTTTTAGGAAAGGGATACATTTATCCATACATTTATACATTTATAAAGAAGAACACGTACTCTTCTTTTCCCTTTCCACTTCACCCGCCTGATCGAGGTCATTGCTCTCAAAGCGGACAGTTGGATCCAAGATCAGCGCTGTCCTTCCTGTCTTGGGAAATGCGACGATATCCGCGTATCTCGTAGAGATAGTAATAAGAGAGTATTAATAAGAAACATACATCAAGACCATATAGGTACCAATATATTTACAATTCCTGAAAATCTTAGCAGGTAGATGTAGATAAAAAATCTACATGTAATACGATATTTTATTTTATTTCTTAAATTTTAACAACAGCTTTTAAAAACTCTTTTAAAGCTCAGATGGTTACACAGAAGGGAAATCGAGAAAGGATAAATTTTATTTAAAAGGTTTCAAAGTGTACATTAAGACCTCTTCCTTTAGAAATACTATAAAAAAAAAATAAAATAATCTGGTGCGTTGCGCATTCATTCTAAACCCGATTTTCTGATAAGAATAGAAAAAAGACCAGAAGAATGACAGAGTAGTACAGTAAAAAAAAAATTCTTCTGGCCAGATCTGTTACGTTATATAAATACAAAATCTGGTGCATAAATACTAAAAGATAATGAAGAGCAAGTCTCGGTCGTGTTTAAATTTTTAAAGATTGTAAACTACTATAATACAGTATAAATTATAGAAAACGCCATTGATCCTTTCGGATAGAGGTGAGAAAAAGTGAAAAAAAAAAATCTGAATTAATTCATTGATAAACTACTTATCAATGTACTACCATTCACATGCTACTACCATTCATCTATATACATGCTCTGTTAATTATGTTAAATATACATATTTTCGCTGAGTATGAAATGTTCCAATTTTATAGAAATGTTTCAATAAAACATAATCCTAATCATTAAATATAGGGAAGAGAAAAGAATATTTATGTTAATATGATAAAGGATCTCTTGAAATTCAACCACCATACGATTCAACCAATAAAAAAAACTGAATTTCCATCATTGCAGAAATATTTGATTCCTCGAACATTATATTCTTTCTTCTTAGCGGAGAGAGGGGGGCGCGAATATTCAAATATGTATTCAGGCCTTTCCCCATAAATTCGTTGTAAATAATAAATAAAAAAAAAATTAAAATGAAAATCAATATGAAGTAACTTACATGAATGAATAAAGTATGAAAACCAAAACACATAAGTAAATTTACACACCTTAAAAGTTTATTTGAATATTATATTATTTAAAATTTTCTTACATTCAAAGATACAATATGTGTAACAGTATTGTGAACAATCAAAGCGTTCTTCTTAACAACATATGTTAAACGTTTATTGTGATTTTTTTCATTCTTAACCGGATTTTCTGATTAGAATAGAATAGAAAAAAGACCGAAAGAATGACAGAGTAGTACAGAAAAAAAAATCTTACTTATGGCCAGATCTGTTATGTTATATAAATACAAAATCTGGTGCGGTCCGTGCATCACACAACTTTCACTTACCACCCTCTTCTTAGCAGAAATAAGTATTTTCAGACAAAGGGCAAGTGAAAGTAAAAATTATAGACTCTATATTTATTTATATTTCATTGTGGTTATTTTTATTTGTATAAGTACCTCTATATATACAACTTTTAATATTTATATCGCTGTAATCTATACAATTAAATATTAAATTATACCAACCATTGAATTTACGAAATCCGCATATCTATATAATACCGTCACAGGCCTTATTATATTAAGCTCATGTTACGCATGGAAGCGTGTTCTAAACTTTCGGGCGAGCTCGGGTGCGCTCGTATTCCTTTGGTTCCTCAATTACAACTATTCTCTGGCCCGAACTAGATATGCCTCTTTTCATTCCAAACTCTTTGGTCACCCCAACCCTCTAGTTTGTAACCTTTCATCCAACACAATTCCTGACAACCCTCCGAGGTGTCTGAAAAGAAGATGGCCGAATGCGCTAAAGCCTGTGCACAGCACCGCGAGTTGCCTGGCAACCGGATTACAGATTTGAGAAGATTTAAAAAGTACGAGTTCGCGTCCCGGTGCCGGAGGGGATTTTAAATTCCCCGCCCTCACCCCCCGGCCCGGGAAAATCCTGTATAGCCTAAAAGGCGAGGTAGGGAAGAACAAAAAAAAAAAAAAAAAAAAATATAATATATATATATATATATATATATACATTTTTTTATAAACAATACATATATATACATATGTAAGTGAAAGTAAAACACAAGTTTTGAAATTTATTCTAATATTTTTGTTTTCATGAAAATAGTTGAAGCAATCAGTAGTTTGTCACTTATAAATACATATCAATTCCTATGACAGAAATCTGGGAGAAAAACACAATTTCATAACCACCTTACATGAAAAATATTTGAAAAATGATTATTTTTGAATCTTTTATTGTTATATATAAAATGTGTTTTTAGGCAAATATGTTTATTACAATACATCTCATACCACGGAAAAACAAGAAATAAAACCTCAGCAGTTAATCTTAGTCATTTGTGCTCAGAGTACTTTTAGGTGATTGAATACTCAACTTGAGATTAATATCAATTTTTTGCCTAATAAAGCTCGACTCAATTCATATGGAGTCAAACCTTATTAAACGAGGAAATTTTTTTAAAAGTGGAAGAAATGTAGTACAGTTGAAGGGTAATAAAAAAAAAAAATTACAAATAATTTATGACTTCTTTTTAAAAGGAACTTTGATGTACTCTTTAAATAATTTTAACAGTGAAAAACCGTAATTTTGTCTAGTTTACTATGAAACGATGTTTTATTACTTAAGTAAAATATTTTTTAAGTTATCTCTTCCTATCCAACCAAAAAAGTGACTCGCTTAAAAAAACGCAAATCTTAAATTTCCTGATTTCCTGCTGGAAATCGAGCAATTGTTTATACGAACTTGCTTGTAGGTCTTAACGTATAGTTTCAGCCTTCTAAATATTTCTATCTACTTACGGGACACCCTGTATAAACACAGTTATTCAATATATTTTTCAGAATATTTGAAAACAACGCATCATAATCTTAAATTAACCAGTTCACTTGTTAGTCGATAATGTTCCTCTAGACCGAAGGTATTCTTGACTGAAATATTCTACAGTTACAGAATCAATAGAAGCCGAAAGCGAGAGCGGAGGGAAGAGGATGGATTGATGGAAATCTGGCTCGGCTGACCAGAAGGATCATTAGTCAGGACACAGGACACAGAACTCAGGAGCTGACAAATGGTCCTGGCACACATGGTCGCAGGATGTGTGTACCTGGACAACTGCGGCTAATCGTCTAATAGCTCAGGACCGATTCTCGGAGGCATCGGTAAAGTCCACTGAATCTCATTGCAACTTGAGAGTATTGGGGAAGTTTAAGAGAGAAAGTGGAAGTACAAATGACTATTGACCTAAAGGTAGTCAAGTCTTCAGGAGGTGTATAGAATAAGATGACCATCCTTCCTGAATTGTTCTTCATCAGGAGGTTTCTGAACTTTCTTCACGATAGGACTTATTTTAGTATTGAAGTTCTGGCAATGGCCAGATTCTTCACGACATGTGTGTATGTGGCTAAAGCACTCTTGCTCAATCTCCACTGGGTTTAGCCCCAGTGACGCGGTTGAGAGAGAAGTGCAGGGATCTTGGAGGGACAAGTCTGGGTCGGAGTTCTCTTGCCAGATTTTAAATAGTGTATATAGATATGTATGTGTTCTTTTTATTTATTTATTTTTAGGTTAATTTATTCTTATTTATTGTATATATATTATTTTTCTGTGTAATTTATTTCATTTATTGTACATAAAGTGTAAATGTTATCTCTGAATACTATTATAAATGCCCTTTAAGTCAGATTGTACTAAAAAAAAAAAAAGTAAAGAATTAGATAGATAGATAGATAGATAGATAGAAACTTTATTCTGGGACACAATCCCTTGATAATAACAAAATAGAACAAAATTAAAAGATTACATCTGGCCAAAATAAAATCAATCGAGAAAAAGAAATAATGTAAAGAAAATACAAGGTAAACATTCTATATACAAAACAAACGAAACTACATACAAAACAATTAATATTATGACAAGACACTTACAGCTATTTGCACTGATAGACCAGTATACACTTTTAAGAAAACAATAAAGAATTAAAAAATATATGAAATTCTTTATTAAAATCAGCTTTGTGTTTCTGTTGAGAAAAGAGAAAGTTGAATCTGACAATATAACGTGCCTGATTAATATATAAATACATTATCATTCAGCATTGATATTTGACAATGAGTGGCATGAAATTAATGTATGTTGCGTATGGTTAGCAAATATCTGTTTTTGGGATAGGAGGGTTTTGATTGTGGATATGGATGGGGAATGTCTAATTTTGATAGGGAAGGAATTCCAGAAATTGACAGAGCGAGCAATAAAGGAGTTTTGGAATGAGGCAGGTTTGTGAGAACCCATGTTAAGGTTAATTATTTTATTTTAATGGTTCCACAATATGTTATTGACTTTTTTAATGGTTTTAAAACTTTATTAACATTGGTGTAATAAGTTAAAGGTTTCCAATTGAATGATAAGATAATTTTATTACTTATTTGAGATAAAAGGTGCCTACAAATATATTTAGCCGATTTGCGTGACCTCTATTCCCAACATTTTTAAATAACGAGGTTGTTATATAAGGCAATTTTTTTTTCTCTCAATTTTATGACTGACAAAGTATCTTACCATTAAAGTGGAAAGCAAATGGGTATTTCTGAGTTCCTAGTGTCTTATTCAGGAGAAAACGACCCAATTATGGGAATTTCTCTGGATAAAAAAAATTGTAGGCTACAATAAGATCAAGCCATTCAGGAAGTTTGGATGCCTGTTAATAATTTGATAAAAATATGAAGAATTATTATATTATTAAAGAATCATATAATTTTCATGAATACACAATCTTCTTTTTACGTTTTAACAAGTAATTAATTATCAAAGCTTGTTATAATGCTGAATTTTCAGTTGTTACTTCTGAATCCGGAAGATAAGATACACCATGTGTTTGGTTATTAATAGGAAAACTGAGAACTTGAGCGAGGCTTAGGTAATTTGGGTCCAAGCATTTGAATACATCGGTCATCATCTTTGATACTTTTTGTACAGCTTTCATCTTGAGGTAAGTGAACTTCTCGTTCTGTCTGTAGATCAGTTTCGGTATTTCCTCGAGGAGCTGTACGACGGTGCGGTTGGAAGGCTGAGGGTGCGCCGTGCAACCTCCCGGGGACTCGAAGGTGCCCAGGGGACACTGAGCGAAGCAGATTGGCCCCTTCGGGCCGTGGAAGCAGACTCCCCCTTTCTTGGTGCACTCTTCAGGACAAAGCCCAGTCCCGCATTCGTAGCTCTCGTCCGAACCATCGTTGCAGTCTCGGTTCCCATCGCAGACTAAATCCAATCCCATACATTGCCCGGAATTGCACTTATACATGCCATATTCAATACTGCAGTTGTTCACGATCTTTCCACATTGAAGCTCATCTGAACCGTCTTTACAGTCTTTGTGGCCGTTGCAAACATTGGAGTTCTGAATACAGCTACCATATCTACAAGAGACATATTGACATACAACATATAGATTCATCGCTTCCGTCACTGCAGTCTGATTGCCCATCACAAACCGATTTGGGGGAGATGCATTCTCCGGAATCACATACAAACGTACCTACACTACAAAAGTTATTATTTATCGAACGCTTCGACAAAACATGACTACTACAGGGAGAGATTTGGCATCGAACCGAACTTAAGATCGGTATCAAGCCAAAGATTCGTCTCTTCTTCGCAAGTTGCATCTTCATTCGAGACTTTGCACAGAGAGTACTTACTATCAGCGAGACTCTGGCCCATATTGATAGTTCTGTTCATTCCGTCAATCTTTCCCCTCAGCTCTACGAGAAGATTTTCCAGCGGTACCTGGGACCTGTGAATTTCCGATTGAAATGACCTTTGTAGACGCTTAAGATCGAAAAGAGATTGGTAACAATCCGTCTCGTTCATATCTGACGTTGTCAACAGATATCTATCTGTAAGCTGGTCAATGAAATGCACGGCTTTTATGTTATTAGCGGACATAGTTTGTAGGCTAAATTTAAAAACATTTTCAGTTGACTGATCGTAATTTGCAAGTGACTCTCTCAGATCCTCTATTTTTTTCCAAAGCTTACTCCTACCTCCTACCTGTAACAGAAATCATAAACTATTATTTATTATTATTATTATTCAAGTACAAAACAACTTGGTGATACTAGGTCGAAAAATTGGACTCTAATAGCCAAAAAAAAATTTATATTATTTTTTAAATATCTGTTTTATGTAGTGTTGCACAAACGCGAGACCTACGCGGTCTTGGTCTTGGTCTTGCGCACTCCGTCCTATTCTTGCTCTTGGTCTTGCGCAACAGTTTTGTAGTTAACTATTAGCTTATTACTATTTATGTTACTTTAAATCTTAGAAAAACGCTAAAAAATAAACACAGAATAGTCCAATCAATAGAATTAAGAATAAAGAAAGATAGTGATAACCCTCTCCCATTCCTTCAATTATATGGAATGGAAGAGTTGTAGAGTAAAGACAATTTATATATTGTTACCAATATATAAGATATAATATATAAGAGTAAAGACAATTTATATATTGTTACCAATATATAAGATATAATATATAAGAGTAAAGACAATTTATATATTGTTACCAATGAGTTTAATGAAAAATTGAGTATGACTTTCATGTAGTAGAGTATGACTAACATGACTTTCCTATCTATCAAAATACAACATTAATAATTGGGAGAAGAAAAAAAAAGATTAATTTTTTATTATTATTTGGAAAGCTATACTCAAATATACAATTCCACATAGAACCGTTTAAGCATCGTACTATATTTGAAAATATTCTCACTTTGACTTACTGCAAGACTCTAGCAGGTCTTACAGTGTCTGGTCATTGTCTTGGTTTTACAACAATTTTTGTGCAAAAATGCAAGACCAAGACCATGGCAGATTTTGGGCAACACTAGTTTTATGACTTAAGATTTCCGAAGTATTATATTAATCGATTTGTTTATTTTTCTGTGTGTGCAGAATAAGAAACATATAATTGCTACCTGTTTTAAACGAATTCTAATGAATAATCAGTTACAAAAATCGTATTACAGGTAATCAAATAAATTGCGATTGTCAACATTGACCCACATGAAAACTAGCAAGAATTTAGGGCACTATTAAATTATCTTGTGTCTCTAGTGCCCTCTTTCAGTCTCCACTGGCTTCTAATACTAGTGATGCGGTTGGAAAAGTGGCACTGGGGTCTTTCGGAGTTTCGCTTTGCCTTCCACATGTGGGGGGAAAAGCCTGGCTCGGAGATTCTTGGGCGAATGTATGTATTGTATATAGTTATGATTGTGTTTAGAAGTTTTTATTTTATTTTATTTGTTTATTTCTTTTTCTTTTTATTTACCTTCTTCATCAGTATTATTTATTTACTTCTTATATTTATATTTATTTCTTTATTATTTGTACATATTGTATTTTTTTTTTATTTTAATGAAATTGACTACTGTATTACATAGAAAATACAATAAGTAAATGTGACATTGGTAACATGAAGAGAAACTACCCATTGGTAGAACTCAAATTAAAGTTCTATATAAGAAGGTACCGAGGCCATCTTCTTTTCAGAAGCCTCGGAGGGTTATCAGGGATCGAGGAGGAAGCAAGGTTTGAAACGAGAGGATTTGGATGGTTCTGCAGTTTTTTATGGAAGGATAGGTATCTGGATTGGGCCAAATCGGAAACATATGGAACATTAAAGTCTTTATGGATGATTTTATTTGTGACAAAGTAAGGAGCGTTGAGGATTATACGAAGGATTTTGGATTGTAAGGATTGGATACGAGAGGAATTCGATGGTTTAGTGGAGCCCCAAAGCTCAATTCCGTAAGTCCAAATAGGTCTTATTATTGTCATATATATAAGTCGTTTGTAATTGATTGAAAGCTTAGAGCGTTTGTCTAGTAAGTGCTGCAGTTGTCGAAAACGTTGGGCGGTTTCTTGTACTTTCAGTCTGGTATGGGGGTGTATATATTGCATGAATGAGAACTTTTAGCCATAATACTTATAGTCCTCCAGCAGTGGCTGATTGTATTATTAGTCAATAAATGGATAAAACGATTGAAAAAAAAATTTAAATAATCGACATGACATAAACCAGCCGCCCGTAAATAAATTAAACTTGGAGATATAAAATAAAAACAATTTTGTTTATCG